TGGCCCATGCCTTTCTGGACCATTCCTCACTGAAAAGGGGGGATGTTGTGGCTTTGTTGATGAGCAATGAGCCCGACTTCATTCATGTGTGGTTTGGTCTGGCTAAACTGGGCTGCGTGGTGGCGTTCCTCAACTCCAACATTCGTTTCAATTCCCTCATACACTGCATCTGCACCTGTGAGCCCACGGCCGTGGTGGTTGGCGAAGGTAGAGTATGGGCTGTGGTCTGCTATGAACAAAGAGAACCAACCTATTTCCCTGGTCCCCCTTTTCTAACCATATTCTCTGTCTAATACTTTGAGGTGGGTGATAATGTGTATAAATTATGCATATGCAATCGTTCTTCCGTCCCATAGCCAGTGGATTAGCTCCTCCCACTCCTCTTCAAACACTTCGTCGTAGATTAGTAAATAGCAATGCAATGAATTAGTATTTTCTATGAAATCTCTGCTTCCTGCCATTTTGAGAAGGGCAACTCTCACCTTCAGTCCCTGCAAGAACTCAAGGGACATGGGGTCAGGACAGTTATTTTATTAGCCCTGACCAAAATGTTTCATGAATAAGAAAGCTACCAATTGATAACTTTATCAAGAATGAGTGCATTTGGATAACAGAAATTTTAAATGTGAAATTCATACATTCTTATCTTCATTCCTGCATTTACTTTGTACTCGGCAAGCTAGGATTTGACAGAGCAGGGGAAAGGCTCTTGGCAGACAATAGTCCTCTCCTTTCTCCTCTCCATCATTTTCTTTCAGTTGCCTTCTTCTTTCCCTGATGCAAGTTAAGATCGCTATGGTTATATATATTCACACTGAGTGATGGGGATAAATCTCTGGTTTAATGAGTAATTAACAAGGAAGTTAGGAAGGAGCATAGCTCAATAAATGGAAATAGGAAGCATGGCACTTACTTGGTACAACCTAAAGGGTTTAGACAATTTCTTCTTGTATGGAGCTGTAAAGTCATGAGGGTGTCCAAAGCAAAGATCTTGGTAAACATATATACGTATTTTAGATTGATACATATGGGTTCTTCATATAAGATTGCAGAATCTGTAAGAGTATGGAACACAATCTAATTTCTGCTTTGTTGTTGACTAAAAAGTAGTTCTCTTCTCTCACCTATTCACACATGACAAAGATGAGTTAGGCTGTGGACAAAAGAAGGCTTGGCCCTCAACACTGTCACTCTTCCCACATCTCTGTGTGCTTCCCGCTGATCTTGTGTTCAACAAGTCAGGAAAGGTTTATTGTCAAGCACTGGTTTCAGCTAGTTTAGGGCCATGGGAGTGGAGAAGCCAAAGTGTGTGCCTTGAGTACTGTCAGGTGGTTTTCTCAGTCCTGTCTTCCACTTTACTTTGTGAAGAGGCCTGTTTGTGTACTGAGGTTTCAGTGACACATGGTGACAAGTAGAATCAATGAGGCATGTGGAATCTTGACAGTGTGGTGAAACAGTATTCATCAATTGCTACAGTGATGAATGCAGCAGAAAAATTAAGCACTGTTGGTTGTCCTGGACACACTCTAACATTTTATCCCATAGCTTACATCACGGCATATCATGTAGCAAATTTAAATGACAAATTATGCTAGAAAACATTACCTCCCTTCAGAAGAGAATACTAAGAGGGCTGTAGTGCCCTTGAAAAGATCTTTGTGGCCGTGATGCTGAGGCCAATGTGAGAAGCTTCCCAGAGCAAATTACTAAGGA